ATGATCGCCGCTGCTAATCGGCGAAGGAATCGCGGGTAATGGAGTGAAGGCGTAGACAAAGGAGACCCGCGTAGGTGGAGGCGCACGAGTGCGGTAATTGGACTCCTTCAATAACCTAATTTTAATGAAAAAAATAAAAATGGATAAAGGGTATGATAGGAAGGGTTTGACACCATAAATAGCTAAGTTTGTAAAAAACAATGGGTAGTGCTAAATGTGTATTCTTGGGGGAATTAGAGTGCTATGTAGGGTGATTTCTTTTACCTAAATACGAAAATAAAACTAAAATTCTAAAAATTCTGAAATAAATAAATAAATAAATTTATTACTACTAAAAACACGGGCATTCTCGAACTCTTATTATATTATTGCTCAATTCTACCTTTCGAGTAACATGAGGTTGTTAATAGCTGTAAAAAATATTGACCAGAAGTCCTCGATTATGATGCTTAAATTAGAGCAATAAGAGTTTATCATGTCCTAGCTCATTCCAGAAGACCCAAATCCTTTGATCTATTTTTTCATGATTCAGAGGTTAGTTGTTTCATTAAAATACACCTTTAACACGTATACATTCACAATTGTAATAATTCTAATATTTTCTTTTCCATTTGCATTATCAGGGAGATTGATTATACTTACTCACATATATAGTGTATAACATAGACCTTATGTCCTACCCTTTCGTTCTTGAGAAGAGTTCCACTTTTGACCAAGTGGTAAAATAAGGAAGTGTAAATTGTAGTTGACTTCCATGTTTCTTTTGATGTGATAGATAGATTATTATAAAAAAATATGATGTGATAGGTAGGGTAAGAAAAAGTAAGGGTAAAATGTGTTTTAATAGAAAGTGAAAGTGTTTTGTTGAAAGTGAAAAAAAATGAAAGATGAAGTGTTTTTCAGAATATAGGGAGTATGTTTTAAAACTTGGAGATGTGATTGGGAAGGTTTTTAGTCAAACTACACCAGAGATTCGTATGATAAAAAACATTTATGAAAGGATGATGAAGGTTACATTAAAGGACCATAAGTATGTAAATATCAAAATTCTCATATATAATCATCTCAATTATAAAAATTTTTATGATTCATTATTTTTTAAAAAAATTGTTTTATTTTTTCAGAGGAAATCGATTGAATTGTACTTTGAGGGGTGATCATATTAATGGTGTGATCATTATTTTATATATATATATATATATATATATATATATATATATATATATATATGGGGTTGACTCCAATCAGGGGATACCTTACAGTGAGATGAGATGCTACGGTCAGATGGCGCAAAGCTCACTACAGGCCACTACAAAGCTCACCAAAAAGGAAGGCAAAGCTCCCAATACTTTTCAACACTTTGAATTTTTTTTGAAAAAAATAAAATTAAAGGAAGGAGTGCTTACCATATTTTTACCGTTGACCGCCACCTTTGACCGCCCCTGCTGCCTCCCACCGCCGCACAGCCGCCTCCGGCCAGCAGTTGCCGAACACCGCTGCTGACCGGTTGTTGGTCGATATAACTATTTTATTTTTAATTAATTTTTTAATTTTGAAAATTTTAAAAAATTGTGAGTTTTAGTGTTCAAAGGGGTGAGCTTTAGAGTGTAATGTGGTGAGCTTGACATCATCTCACTATAAGGTATCATCTAACTGGAGTGTGTGTGTGTGTGTGTGTAGATCAAATTTTTCTTCGAAGATCGGGTTTAAAATCATTTGCTTCTATACCAAATTGTAACACTTTAATCCATCCAGATCTGTAGTCCCTTTCAGACTAAAGTATAAACTTGGTAATTTTAAAATTTAAAACATTTCGAATACTTTTATTCAACATAAAAATAACTTTCATAAAAGTAACAGAGTTTTCAATGTTGCGAAAACTTATGAATTTACAATCACAAAATATAATTAATTCATGTCTTTTGAAATAATAGTTGAAATCCATCACATTCATCCTGACAATCTCGCCCCCGCCTGCCTCATGGATCACGTCATCACATTCATCCCGAAATAACAGTTCAAATCCATCACATGTCTTTTATAAATTGTATAACAAAAATGCTAAGAAAAGAGTGAAATTTGAAGATAGAGAAAAACCAAGGGCAGAAATGTCATTTTATGTCTAAAATAAGTAAGAGAGGGTGTCTGTGCACTATCTAAAAACCACTGAATTTGACAAATGACTTTTTAAAGTAGAGTGGATTTTAGCGCTTCTTTTGAAACCACGAGGGCACCCATGCTATTACCCCACATTAGAGTATAGGTATATGAATTTTAGTGGTAAAAATAGTTTCACATGCTCAACATCAAACCAAGCAACGGTTTACTCAACCATTAGTGGTAACAAACACCCAACAACAATTTCAAATTCACACACAAACCAAAGTGGCAACATAGGAGTTTTACAAAGTTAGAAGGTCAAATCATTGACTAACCATCAATATTCAAGAGACTAATGAGTCTAGTGCACAACCTTTCAGATGCCCATGAGATTAAGGTGAACAAACATTCGATAGTATCAACTCTCCGGGAAGTACAATGAAAGTCTCCACAACATGATTCATCTTGAACTACTTAGGATTTTTTATTTTTAAAAGTAAATATTAAAGGAAATATAATTTTTAGAAAGGAATTTTTTTTATATAAATTTGAAATTAATATATTTAGATTTTAAATTGCCAAAGACGCAATTTAATTTTGAATAGAATATTTTAAGATATAGCAGTATAGAACAAACATAAAGACAAAATATTTGTATATTTATGTTATAAAAAATCATATAAGAAACTATTCTGTGATTCTTGACATATTTCCCATAATAATAATAGTAATAATAATAATAATAATAATAATAATAATAATAATAATAATAATAATAATAATAATAATACGGAGAGGTTGTTCAACCATTCACTTTGAATGGATCCAGATAACACATGCTTCAATTGGGGTACCAACACTTCAATTGACAAAAGTCCTACACCCCGGTAAATCTCCCACTTCCTAAATAGTGGCTATGAAATGTTTTTATAAAATTAATAATAATAATATTATTATTATTACAAAGAATACACGCAAATAATCTTGAAATCACTATTGAAAGGAATAAAAAGTTATACAAAACTAGAAAGACTATGAAGAAACTTGAAAAAATTAAAAGAAATTAATTAGATAAAACTAGAAAGAGTTGGAAAAAAACTAAAAGAAGTTGTAAAGAAAAAAAAGAAATTAGAAAATGTTAGAGGTTAAGGGTGCATTTTGTGTATGGGAAATATGTTTTTAGAGATTATTTTTCCTTAAGAATTATTTTCTACCACTTATATAACCGAAACTAGGAAAATGCAATTGAAATTTTCTAGAAAATTATTTTTTCTCCCAAATAAACGGATCCTAAGAGTTAGAATTAAAGAAATATAGCCTTAAAAGAATAAAAGAGCATCACTAATTTCATAAACAATTATCAATTTTTTAAAACTATTTCACAAATAGTCCTTTTCAAAAAATATGACAATTGACAACATATTTTGAGTAAATTCTGAAAATGGTCTTTTCTAATAAGGTTTTTTCCAAAGTAATCCATAATAAGCAAAAATTACTCACATGGTTCTTTATAATTGAGATGTGTTTTTCTTAAATAGTCCTTTATAAAAAAAATGTCAATTAAATGACAGTTAAATAGAGGGTACTTTTGTGATCTTTAATATGTAAACTATGAATAAGTCCTCAATTTGATTTTTTAAAGAGCATCAAAATATCCTCTGTTTAACTGTCATTTAATAGGTATTTTTGATAAAAGACTATTTAAGAAACAATAAAAGATCACGTTAGTAATTTTAGCTTATTGAAAATTACTTTGGGAAAAAATCTTACTTGAAAGGATTATTTTGAAAATTTACTCAAAATATCTTGTCATATTTCATAAAAAGGACTATTTGTGAAATCGTTTTCAAAAATTAAGGACTGTTGATGGAATATCTTAAATATGGAAAACTAGATATAATTCAGAATTATTTATAGAATTTACTCTAAAAAATAAGGGAGAAAGGAAGAAAGTGGCATGAAAGAACTAAAATGCTCTAAGAGCACTGGTAATACCGCTCACGCCCACCGGCGTGATGAGCGCTTTTAACGCCGGGGGGCGTTAAACATCGCCCCCCATCGGCGTGATACGGGCGTGATGCGCTCGGCATCACTTGTTAGACGCAATCCCCCTCTCTCCTTAACGGCTAATTTAGCCGTTGTAAACAAAAAAAGAAAAATTATTTTAATTTTTAATTTTTATAAATTTCAAACTCCCTCCCTCCCATTCTCACACCTTCACTCTTCTTCAATCTTCTTCACACATTCTTCAATTTCAAACTCTCCCCCTCTCTTTTGAACATGAATCCTTCCGGGTCCAGCTTCTTTCCCGACAATCTCGCGCCTCACGATGCCGCGATGTGGTATTTCCAAGAATTCGGGGATCATCCGCCGATCTTCGAGACGCAACAATCGAGGTACGTCGAGCGAGATTCGGTTCCGGAGACTCAACCGGAACCATCCGGCTCCAAAAAAAGTACACGCCGGAAAAGCCACAAAGCAAAAGGCACGATGACCGAGGCGGCACGGTCAATCCAAAAGTGGACGCTGGAGGAGGAGTACTTATTGGCGTCGGCTTGGGTTGGCGTCTCCGAGCATCCTATCATTGGTAAAAATTATATGTTTTCTAATATATTTATGTTTTTATTTATATAAAATTATATTTAATCATGTCATAAAAAAAATCATGTTATACTTTTTTAAAGGTTCGGAGCAAACGAAGGATGCGATGTGGGATCGTATCGAGGAGAAGTTCTTCACGGCGATGAACAAGGACGGCTCCTACCGTACCCGGGACCAACTCACTTCCAAATGGAGCCACATCAACCGTAAAGTCCGAAAGTTTATCGGAGTTTACGAGGAATGCGCTCGGTCCCGGAGGAGCGGGACGAACGACGTCGTGTTCTCCGGCTTGCCACGACCCGATATCAAGATGACGGGCACCAAGGCAAGGTGCTCATCGATCTTTGGAGGATTTTGAGCCGTTCCCCGAAGTGGCAACAACTCAACAATTCCGACGGCAGATCGTCAAAGAAAAGATCCTCCGTTGACACTGAGGTTGAGGTCGACGAGACTATCGGTTCGTCCGATCAAATGCCTCCCTTCAACGTTGCGGATTCCGATGACGAGGACCCCATTCCACGGCCGATCGGAAGAAAGAAGGCAAAATCCATTGCCTCGGGTTCGGGAGGGTCCGGCTCTGTTTCCGTTTCTTCTCACGACGAAATCGGTCGGGCAATGGTTGAACAACTTTGGGTGTTCAATCTTCGAGAAGAAGAGAGGATGAAGCTAAAGGAGAAGGAGATGAAGCGAAAGGAGCAGGAGGACGATATCAAAATCATGGAAACCGACCTTTCTACGTTGTCGGGTTTCAAACGGATGATCTACGAGCAAAGACAAAGAAAGATCAAGGCGAAATATAATTTACCTTAGTTTTTTTATTAATGTATCTTTTTTATTATTGTCGTTTCTTTATTTTAATGAATATAATTTTTTAAATTTTAAATTATTGTCGTTTCAATTTCTTTAAATTTAATGAATGTATTTTTTTATTATTCGTGTTTTAATATAATTAAATAATAAATTAATTTAATTTTATTAATTTAGTTTTAGAAGATGTATATTTAAAAATGTAAAAAATGAAGGTTTGAAGCCCCAGTTTGAAGCCTAGGGGTTTCAAACTCATTTCCAGTGAATCTGTGAGGTAAGTTAAAGCTGATGTGGCAGAGAGAGAAATTTTGAAGCCCTAGTTTGAAGTTCCGGAGCTTCAAAGTTCAAACGTGCACATTATCAACGGATTAACATTTACGCTGACAAAGTGACGTCACAACTGATTAAGCCATTGATATCAATAATTAAAAGTAAAGTTCGCAATTGGGTCGGTCACTTCGGATTCAGTCACTTCAGGTTCGAGTTATTTTGGGTTGCAGTTAATTCGAATTTGGGTTAAAAACTATATGTTCATAACTCAGTGTCATCGGGTTTTGATCGAACCAACGGATTATGACTTTAGTTTTTTAAATTTTTTAAATTCACATTAACACATATATTTCTTATTAAGTGAAATTAAAATATCAAAAAATATGTATTTAAACTATTATTTGATTTTACTTTAAATCTTGAAGTAAGTTTTAGGAATATAAATCAATATAAAGATTCAAAAAAATGCATAATTTTTAGAAAAAAGTAAGATAAATATGCAATTTCATTAGAATTTTACCCGAAAGTATAAATTTTTACAATAAAATTGAGTAGTAAGAAAAAATATAATTATAACTTTATTTTTATAAAATTATATTTCATAGTAAACTATATGATTTTGAAAAAACTCTTACATTAGTGGGTCAGTCAGGTCGGGTTTGGTTCGGCCAACTAAACCTTTGTTCAAAACATAGTGTTTTCAAGTCGAGTTTTGGATCAAAAACAGGTCGGCTCACTTTTAGGTCTAACTAATTAAAAGTGGCCTTAGGATATTTACCCGACACAAATTGTAAATAAAATATAAATTACTAATTGGTGTAACTTTTTGAAGGAAATCCTTAATTACAAAAAAAAACTGTCTATACTAAAATATGGAGTACTTTCAATTTTTTATACTAAAATAAAATTTATAATGTGAAATAGTGCTATTACATAATATAAAAAATATTATAAAATTTTGATACATAACGTGAAATTGTGACAATAAAGTTTTGTTCAGTTTAACTATTTTAATTTTTCTAATCAAATTAGATTACTTTAGAATCAATAAAATGAATTTTACATTGCCTTTTAATAGAAAAATAATTCTTCTCATATTATCATGACCTCCAATTAATTTTAAGAAAAAATAAAGTAAAAGTTTGCACTAAATAGTACAAAAACATATGTCCTTTCCCAAAGTAATACTTAAACTTTTTTATTTTCAATATAGTACTTGAATAATATCTAGTGGCGGGAACAATGTCTAGTAACGGTGGACATTTAGTTTGAACAATGTCCAATGACGGTGGATATTTACTTAAACAATGACCAGTGGACATTAAACAGAAGTACTACATTGAGAAATAAAAACATATGATACTCTATTCGAAAAGTCATTATATTTTAGTACTATTTATGTAAATTCTCCAAAAATAAAACCTTGATTTTTTTGTGTGTCCCACATTTATTCCGGTATGTAATTAGCATCCAATATAATACTATGATTTTGTTACATTTTTTACTCTAAGGTTTATTGCACCAACACCTCATGTGGTTTGGTAAATGTGTACCATTACCCTTATGGTTTCAAAACTTACGTCGTTGCCCCTGTGGTTCTAAAACTCTTACGTGAGTGTCCCTCTTAACTTAAATACCCTTCAAATATTAAATGAATAGCTTTGTTACCACCTATGATTTTGGAAATGTGCATCAACGCCCCCTCTCTCTTTTTCTTTACTATCTCCTTTTTTTCTTTTATTCTCAAAGAGAAGAAAAATGATTGTGTTTGGAATAATATAAATATTGCTTTTCAAACTTATGTTTTTAAAACTGTTTTAAAAAATAAAAAAAGTTGGTGTTTGAAATAAAAATCTAAAATAAACTTCATTTGTCTCAAATTAAATATTTTTGTTTTTCTACAAAATATTCTTATTTTTTTTAAAATATGTTGGGACCAAAAGAATACAAATTAAAGTCTTTTTAATATTTATTTAATTATATATTCATAATATTCTTTTTGTATTGATGTGTAAAATTATTTTCTTAATAACTTAGTTTTCCTATTCTAAAAAATATTTTTTGATATACTTTTCTTCATTCCTCTATTTCTTTTCTATTATTTTTATTTTATTTTTTATTTTGATTTAAGTAAAAGAAACGTTATAAATTATTTTTTTTTAAATCATGAAGAGAAAAATAATTAAAAACTAAAAAATGTGAATTAGCTTTAGTGTAAAAAAGTAAAAATTTTTCATTAATTTTTGTATCATCAAAATGAAACAATAAGACAGATCGAAGTATTTCTAAAAATATAGTGAAATGCCAAAACACGATATGAAATGTAGAAATTGATAAGAGAGAAAATAGTTTGTATATTGAATTGTTCTGATGAATACAAAGGTCTAACCTTCTTTATATAGGAAGAGAGTAAAGCATATAAGTAAACTTTTATTTCTACCATATTTCTATTCCTACTATAACAAGAACTAAGCAAACTAGGAAAGATACTAAGCCGAATCCCAAAGGGATTCAGTTTCCTTCTTTGATCCGGCTTCCTTCTTCTGTCGCCAACATCCCCCCCCCCTCCTCAAGCTGGAGCATGGGAGTTCAACATGCCTAGCTTGGACATCAAGAGATTGAACAAAGCAACAAAGCTTGAGGAAGTCACTGCCATCGTTGTCCAAGTGTCATCTAGACACTTCAGTTTTTTTTCTTCAACGGAGACGCCAAACTTTTCGAATCCGCCGAATAATCAGTCGAGTAAAGGAACGCCATTCTTTTCGAACCTTCATTGTATTCGAACAAACAGGGGGAAAAGCCATTCTTTTTGAACACCCTGAATGCCGACTTTTTTATTGCCTGCTAAGGAAAGAGTTGTCTGTCTCTGTAGAACAACCCTTCTCGGACAACTTCTTCAAGATTGATGGTTGGGCGGGATTCCTCGATAGTAATGTTTTTCGTCAAAGGAGTTCATGATATTCTTTAGTGAGGGAGAACAATCAAAGAAAATAAAAAATTACAATATCCCGCCGGTAGGCATTAAATTGTGTATGCCCACCGGCAGGGGAAGAATCGTGTTTGAGTTCTCAAGAATTCAAAACTTGCTCCGATACCATGTAGAAATTGATAAGAGAGAAAATAGTTTGTATATTGAATTGTTCTGATGAATACAAAGGTCTAACCCTCTTTATATAGGAAGAGAGTAAAGCATATAAGTAAACTTTTATTCCTACCATATTTCTATTCCTACTATAACAAGAACTAAGCAAACTAGGAAAGATACTAAACCGAATCCCAAAGGGATTCAGTTTCCTTCTTTGATCCGGCTTCCTTCTTCTGTCGCCAACATCAAATCATGACATTTACATATTAGAATAAATGTTGGAAGATGGAGTATTAATTTATTCTACTCCCTATTTTTTGAAAAGTTGCAAAGAGGGACTTTTTTTGGGTATATATATATATATATATATATATATATATATATATATAATATATATATATATATATATATATATATATATATATATATATATACTACCACTTGCATACGGTTTACGGTTATGTGTGGTTCATTATATGAATGGTAGTAGTGTGAGTGTGTCTGTAGTGTTTTATGTAAAAGGCTAGATCCATCGGTTCAAAAGAAAAAAAAACCATCGATCGATTCAAACTAATCGAACATTTTACTGTTCACAACCGGCCATGATGAAGGAAGAGAATAAAAGAGCATCACTAATTTCATTTAATTGAATAAAATTTCATTTAATCACATGGTTCAGACATAGACCTGGCAAAACAGAACCGGAACTGATTACTCGAATCGAATTATCCGAAACCGAAACCGAAATAATCTGAAAAATGAAGATTCGATCTGTAACCGGAAAATGAAGATCCGATCAGAAACCGAACTAAATAATTCATATCCGATTTAAATCCGACATTGATTAGATCCAAAACCAATCATATCCAAACGGATTAAACCCAAGACTAATGATACCCGAAACTGATAAAACCCGGAATCGATTAGATCCGAAACCGATAATATTCGAAACCGATTAGAACTAAAACCAGGTTGAAGGTGTGTGGAAATTGAGAAATAGAGTGAATGGTGGCATAAGAAAAGTGATAAGTGTATGGAAGGAAAGTAAAAAAAACTCCTTCCATCTCAGAAAGAATACTACATAACGCAACATAAAGCAAAATTTTAAGTTTTTTAAATTTATTTTATTTAAAGATTGGTATAGAAATACATTTTTTACATATTTAATTTAAAAAGTTACAAGAATAATAGTTTATTTTATAAAATAATTAATGAAAATGCACAAATAAGTAAAATTTTCGTAATTTTTAAATAGTTAAGTGTGATATCCTTTTTGGGCGGAAGGATTATATGATGAATTGTAGGAAAAAACTAGATTTTATCCTAATTTCATCTAATTACAATAACTTTTATTGGTTTGGGAGTTAATTTAATTAATTTCAAACCAATTCACCCAATAATGTTAGAAGTTAGCGTTATCATTTTGAAAAAGCTCTCTAGGGGCAACGTTTAGTGTTTTCATATTCAAATTTGTTTTACACCATTAAATTTAGGTATAAAATCAAGTACATTTGACTCTATTTAATTTAATTATATCTAATTTCAACTAAATACACTCAAATAATTTATAAAATTTGCACCCAATACATTAAATAATATGAGGTATTGAATTGATGATGGATTGATAAATGTGATAAAACAAAAAAAATGGATAATTAAATTTTAATTAGAAAAATATATATATATATCCAAAATATAATCGATCGAAATATATCCGAACTGAAACATATCTGAAACCGAAATATATTCGAACCGAACTAAATTCGAAACCGAAATATATCCGATCCAAGTTGTATCCAAACCAAAATCTATT